GGGGGTGGAGGTGCGGTGAGCTGAGATCACACCACTGCTCCAGCCTGGGCGGCTTAGCAAGACTCCATTTCAAAAGAAAAAAGGGGGAAAAAAAAAAGGAGATTTTTAAAAAAAACACATAATAGAATCTTAATATATTAGGAAAAGAAACAGTTGGGATATAATTTTGTGCTGTTAATTCTTCATCATTCACTAACTGATGAGAACAAGGACTCCATAATGAAGTTGACAAGATAAGGCAATGTATTGAAATACAAATAGGAAGGGGAAGGTATGGCTCCACTGCTAGAGGCTCTTGCTTACTTATAAAATAGCAGACACCTAAAAGGAAACATTATAAATCACCATCCAAATCTACTCAACTCATCGCTCAAATGGTAGGATATGAAGCACTAGGTCTTTAAAAGCAAACCAAGCCCCCAAAATACAGTCACGCATCGCTTAACAACAGGGATATATTCTCAGAATTGCATCACTAAGCTATTTTGTCGTGTGAACACCATACTGTAATGCACAAACCTAGAAGGTACAGCCTACTGCACACCTAGGCTGTATGGTAGAGCCTACTGCTCCTAGGCTACAACGCTGCACAGCATGTGACTGTACTGAATCCTGTAGGCAAAATATTTGCATACCTAAACATAGAAAAGGTAATGTGTTGTGCCACTACAACATCACTAGGTGACAGCAATTTTTCAGCTCTATTATAAGTTTATGGGTCCACCATCATATATGCGACATTGACCAAAGTGTCACTGTGCAGCACATGGCTATACTACTTCACGAAAAGTTGTCTGGGGCTGGGAAAGTTTTTGAAGACAAAGGCCAGGGCCAAATCTAAAGCAGCACACAATCCTCGTCCTTGACTACCTGCGCTCCCACGATGCCATTGCCCCCGTAGAAGTTCTTGGCATACATGTGCATCGATCCTCCTTTCCCTTTAGCACAACCTCCTTTTCGTCCTGGAAATGGCAGAACATACACATGTGCAGCACAAACCAACTCTACAAAGCAAACCAAACCACACCCCAAGTGGCTCAACCATTAGAACGCAGAGGCCAATTCAGTCATCTAAGTACCTGTCACTCCAGGCAAACACGTTTCTGCTTGTCCTTTTACTAGTTCCATGTGCTTCAACCTTTCCAGCTTTTCCTACTCTCCAGTCACTTAGTTGCCTTCAGATGTTAGCAAAAGTCCAGATGGTACCCTAGACTTTTTTGGTTTTTTGACCAGTTACCAATATCTTAGGACCTCTCCTCTACTAGTACACTAAATATATTCAATCCTTGAACAGGGTTTGAACTGCACGGGTACACTTATACAGATTTTTTTTTTTCAGCCACACATGGATTGAAAATACAATATTCTCAGGATGCAAACCCGAAGATATGGAAGGCTGACTTCAGGACTTGAGTATTTGAGGATTTTGGTATATTCAAGGGTCCTAGAACCAATCCCCTGGATATATGGAGGGACAACCATAGTTCAAGAGTCAAGGAGGGCCGGGTGCAGTGGCTCACGCCTGTAATCCTAACACTTTGGGAGGTCGAAGTGGGTAGATCACCTGAGGTCAAGAGTTCGAGACCAGCCTGGCCAACATGCTGAAACCTGGTCTCTACTAAAAATACAAAAATTAGCCAGCTGTGGTGGTTTGGCACCTATAATCCTAGCTACTCGGGAGGCTGAGACAGGAGAATTGCTTGAACCTGGGGGATGGAGGTTGCAGTGAGCCAAAATCACACCACTTCACTCCAGCCACTCCAGCCTGGGCAAAAGAGCGAAACTCTGTCTTCAAAACAAAAAAAAAAGCCAACCCAGGAGA